ACAATCAGCTATATTTTGTTGGCCTCCATGATAGTGTATTCAAATTCCAAACATTCACTAGCTATATGATTTCATGTTTACCTTGACAACAAATGACTTGTCTCCATTATTACACATGGAATGATGGGCTCAGAGAGGCTAAGCAACTGGTCCAGAGTCACAAGTTGGTACAAGTCAAGATTGCAACCTATTGGTCTGAGTCCCAGATTAATATTCTTTATGGTAAATTCCAACTGCCTCTCAAAGAAAGGAGCCTAATTGTAGACTGCTGTATGCCTCCTGAACATAGAGAGTGAAAGAGTTTCAAGGCTGAAAAATAACCAAAGATGGCCAACTGACAATGAGAGGTTAAAATACATGTTCCAACAATGTGAAGGAATGTAGACAAATCATGCATCACAATATAACAATAGTTAAGAGCTTGGATTCTGTGATCAGAAAAGCCTGAATTCAAATTGTGAATTAGCTGTTTACTAGCTGTCTGGCTTTAGGGCAAATTACTTAAGCTCTCTAAGCCTCAGTTTTCTATCCATAAAATGAAGATTAAAAAATACTGACCTACTTGCCAACCTCATCCAGTTGTTGGAAGGTCAAATAAGAATATATATTGATAACTTGAAGACTCACAAGTATAATTTGTGGGAAATACAACTTCATTTAGTCTATTGACTTGAGGGGACAAAATTGCCATAAATCAAGACAACTACTAGAAAGTGTACTCAAATCTGCTCATAATGCAATTGTCAAGTCTAATCATTTTACGGCTTATGGTCATTTATGGAATCTTCTCAAATAAATTCCAATTTGTTAGTCATCTTTTCCTTCAAAAATTTAGGGATGCCTCAGAACAAGAGGGAAAAGATACAGGGCCTTTCTGGCTAAGCCATAACTACTAAAAATAATTAAATCACCCATCTACAACTTTGATAATTCAGTTCTCTTACAACCATGCATATCAATGTTACAAAGACCCTAAGATTTAAAAAAAAACTTCTGAGAAACAAAAATGTGAATTTCAACACACAGCAACACATAGTTGAATATATGGGAACGCATAGATTTCAAATGGGTGTAACACAATTTGGATATCTGTTGGCTGTAAAGGATGACTTAATTTTATTATTATAAAGACTTATGCAGATAAGTTAAACTTATACAAGGCAATCTTCTTTGTCTTGCTGCAATAACTTGTCATTTTAAGACTTACCACTTAAAGAACATAATTATGAGTTATTTTGAGGAGAGCAAATATTCATCTACTTTAGTGAAAATCGAAAGAAATAGTCTCTAAACATTTCTGATCATGCATCCTATCAACAAAATTTTTAGTGTATGTCAAATATATGTATATTTGTTTAGAAAATGTGCCACATGCTTTTGCATGCACACATGAAAATACATACAAAAATATTCTAAAAGAATGACAAAATAACTTTGGAGATGACCATCTAGAGAATCACTAAAAGTAAATGTACCCATGGGTGAAGTAACTCCTATCAATGTTACAGTTTGAAATTATACGTAGTGTTTGATGTAATATTCTCCAAATACAGGAATCCAATTAACTGTAATGGTACTAATGTGATGTTACATGTCTGGCCTACACTTGGTCCTTTTTCTACCACCAGGAATGGGGTCACAAATGGCCTTCACAACTTAAAGGTACAAGAAAAGAGGCTATAATCATCAAGTGGTTTACAACAGATACCTTAACAAATATTCTCCCTTTAGAAAATACTGAGAGACATTTGTGCTTCCCATCCACACCTCCCCCAAGACCAGTTCCCATGAAGTTCCACCTGTACTACCACGTTCACCTGCATGTTCACAGAAACAAATTGAGTGCAGAGTCTCGCCGACAATTCATGAACTGCAGAATCCCTAGAGTAGTGATTCCTAAACTCTGCCAAGAGACTGTGCTGTGCAAACCTCTCTTCATATACACCTATGACCATAGCGAATGAATTTTACCACCAAACCTTGCAATTCCTTCTCAGTTTAGCTTCCCAGTTTTCATTTTCCCCATCCTTTCCCTTTTTATCCAACTCTAGATTCAAATCATGTCACCTCTGAGCATCAGTACTCTCTTCCAAGCATACGTGATTGCCAAAAGAACACTGCATCTTCAATACTAAAATGATAAATATCATGAAAAGGCTCATAAATAACAGTCAGAAGTTGAAGTCCATTTTTTTTATTCCTATCTTGGACATACTGAGCAGTACGAAAAGTGATAAGCCAAGTTAAACCTGCAGTCAAAAAGAAACTGGTATCAATCATACTCCACAAAGTGTTGAGGAAATGGTATCAATCCTCAGGATTAATACAATCTAAGGCTTACTTGTTTAGGAGCATTTCAAAAATACAACACTAAACATCAGAAGAAAATGGTCTATAGGGATAAAGATCTATAGGCATAACCAGAAATCAGATCAAATAATGTACAGGTTTCTCTATTTACAGTCCTATATATTAAATGACTTAAGGACTCAGTTAAGCAGCTCAGTCAGCTAGTAATACAAACTATCTTATTGTAAAAGATTTTGTGATAGTTATATTATGTTCCAAATATGAAAATAAACCAGTTATATTTTGATAGCAGCCATATATAAAAGTTCAGTGGCAGAGACTGAGAGATGAGTCTAAAATATTTGCAGTCTGTATACCTTCAGATAAGAAATCTATTCAGTTTTAGACAATCCAAGATATATTTTTAAGACTTCTATGTATAGATAAAACTACTGACAAACATTCTGCATATAGCCTATCAAGAGCATTTTATCGCATCATCTGAAATAGGGGTGAAAAAGGGAGATTAAATATCTTTAAACTTCAATATGCAAACTACAACTTTAGTTATCATACCTCTCTTCTGTAAAGAGGAAGAAGAGAGAGTATCAGAAATGTTAAAAGTCACGCAGGAAAAAGTCCAATAGTAGATTTATTTGTTCCCAAGATTAAAGGGAGCCTGGAAACCTGTAGTCATTAAACACTAGCCATTGGGAATACTGCTTCCTTCCCTTTAACTTGAAGGCCAGTTTCAAAATCTGCAACACCTATACAAAACAAAATTAATTACTTGCAATGTGTAAGTTATAATGACTTAAGGAAACTACTTGTGCAATGTACCAGAAAGCCACTTTCTGGTGGCCTTTCCAGTCTATTATTATAGAAATATTGCGAATAAGGGTAAGAACATGTGATTCCCATTCCAGATGACAAAGATAACAGCCACATTATCCTGCGTGAACCAGGATAACTCTCGCTATATAATCCACCTTGTTTCAACATTACAGAGGGAGGCACTACTTAAATTTGGAAAAAAGGAAATTTCAAAACTACCTGTTAAAACTTAGAAAGTAACACTCCTCAAACTTATTGCCAATCACAACTATGAATTCCTGGTGCCAACGGCAAAAATAGTTTTGAAAATAGTCATCCTATCTTAAAAGAATTTATAACAAAATATTTCAAAACATTCCCCAGGAACAGTGAACAAGAAATACATCACAAACAGCTACTGTACTCAGATATAGGTTCAGCTCAATTGTCTGGGGAAGGTTAAGGTTAAAGTCACAGGAAACAGCTGGTCTCAGAGTGATGTGTGCAAGCCTTTCAAAGAGAAACTTATGAACAGCTCCTCACAAGCCAGACATCACCTGAATTCTAAAACATTTTTATTAACTGTTTCTATCATTTTCAAAGATTGAAAAAGTCTGATGTCAAGATCTTCAAAAACAACTTTCCATTTGAAAAAAGGCTTTACGATTTAAAAAAAAAAAAAAAAAAATGGTTGCGGTGCTTAGTTTCAAAGGAGTTACCAGGTGAAGTGTAGTTGGTAAACAATAGTAGTCAGCACTGGGGTAAGACCCATTTAAAAACTACCCTACCGGGTGTTTTTATTGTAATTCAAGTTTGAAATATCGAGGAGCTTTTTCACAGAATAGATTTAAAATTAAAACCATAACAACTGGCAAGGGTAGTCATGTGTTGTGGGTCTATGAATTCAAACTCTCGAGAATGGCGTGCCAATAATATGCACATTGTACTCAATACCTGCATATTCAGCGGCCTATTCCTGTGTTGCCTACAAAATCAGAATAATTTAATCCTGCATGTAGAAATAACTTCTTGAAGTTATTTGAGATACTGATTTCAAGTAATTACAGATTTTAATGTAGACTGCGAATTTCCAGTGTCAACACGTTTACATACATAGCAAAAAAAGGCCACTACATGTTAACTGTGTAGAGCAAAATTCAGTTTTTCCACTTTCAATTTCCACTGAAAAACGCTGTTATCCTCTACAACGAAACAGCAAGTCCTTCTATTATATGGGGTAGTGGACTAACCTACACTACAGCATTATCAAGGTTCACTTAGGTTCTTAGTATTTATCTGAAATAAAAGTCTGAAAATGAGGAATCGAGAAAGTCAGCATTTCAACTTTTGAGAATAAAAGTTCATAAACATACCTTTTGTTGAATTCCAGCTTATGTGATTTTTATGTAAATCTTGCAGGTGATGAAAAGCAAAAAGCAACCAATCTCTCTGTAGTGTTTAGCCTGTTCTTTTAAGACTATGGGTCACTTGCCCCGGGAAATTTCTAATTGAACAAGGAATCCATGGGGCAAAGTAATCGTTTTTTCAAAGGTGGGTCAGAATGGAACATTTCTATCTTCACTTCGACAGGGAAGCAATGAAATGTAATCCTTTTGAGTTATCACATTTTTGGTAGATGCTACCGTGGTCTCTTATCCTTATTTCATGAGATCCTTAGCCTGTGAATGTGTCCATGTTTTGACTTTAGAAATTTTTAAAGCATGTTATTCCTGTGTTTCCTCTAACACCTAAATATGTATATACAGAGCATCTTCATTCCTCATCAAATGTTTTTTCAGCATGACCAGTGTGCAACTGATATTCACATAGTTTATAGAACCTGTCTTCTAAGAAAAAATACTTTTAGCTAAACCTCTATAATCATGACAAGAGATTGATTAAAATGCCAAGATAAGAAACAATTTATTATAGAGAGAAGAAAAATTTCTCATCCAAAATATAGAAATCTGTACAACTTTGCCACAATCAATATACATGAACTGTACAAATTTACACCAGTTCATAATTTACCAAATAAAAGATGACTAACAAAGTTCACAAAATAGATGGTGGTTTGTGGAAAAGACTTTTACCCAATTAAGTACAAGGAAAGTTACAAACCAGACCTCCACTTTCTAAAAATAAGAAGTTTACTCAATCTTAGAAAACTACAAGCTAGCAAATGTACAGAGAGCTGGCTGGTGCTAACACCACAGTTGAGACAGTGTCTTTTTTAAGGGTCTTTTTTAAAGCCTGTTGCCATGGCAGATTCTGGTCACTTGCTACTTTCAAGGCCAAAAACACAATACAAGGTCTGACCATTTCCCCAGGTCATGCTTACTAGTTTGTCTTTATGTACATTTATACATATTTTAAGTGCTAGGTAAAAGTCTTGTAAAATTTCCAGTACTACCATGTTTAAAACGTTCAGCTTTCCTATTGAGCTGCCAAAAAGGTTAACAGTAACAATTTTCAAGTGTAATAGTGCAAATTCCTCTGCGAGATTTACTGCAGAGAAAGGTTCTTTGAAATACAGATTTTCTTTAAAGGGACTGATGTAAAAATTCAGGTATGTCTGGGAGAAACTGAAACCACCCTAGGACTTCCCTCCCTAGCAAATAAAGTGATCATTTACTTGGACGCACAGGCTATTAAAATTAATCATTGAAAGGTACTGTCCAAACTATGGCACTGTCACTTAAAAAAATTTTTTTTACCACTCTATCTTGTGCCAGATCTTCACAGCTGTGACATGGTTTAAATTCCATAATCCATCCCCAAGAGGAGCCCACCCAAAGCAAAAATCAAATTTATCCATCATTATAAGATGATCCATCCACAGACTATATCTTAACCTGATACAGTCATCATATTGTAGTTTTTGGAAGGGCTCGTTCTGCCCAAGAGAAGTTCCTCCTTACAGCTGATTCGGCTGTCTACCATTTGCACGTTGGTGCTGTTTTGAGTGCTACCTCCTGCTGGTGAGGCTTCATACAGCACACAGATGGAGCCATCCTCTCCAATTCTGTAGGACACTTCGTAGGGGTCAACCCAGAGTGTGAGTTCACTTGGGAGAAGCCTGAACAGCTCCTGACTGCTCAGTCCAATCCGCTGTGCTGCCTGTCCAATCAGAGGATCCATTTTATGGTTGATGCGTATACAACGGTAACCCGATCCCTTGCATGGCTTTTCTGGGAACCAGTGATGTTTATAATGTTCTATAGAAAAAAAGAAGAACAGAGAAACAACGCTTAGGATCGTTAGCTCCCAGTGTGATTTCCTCCTACCCCAGGCTCCCTGGAGGAGCGAAAATGAAAACTATCAACTTTTTGAAATGTCCAGGATTGCATCCGTTGTTGTGTATGTGCGGGGATGGAGAAAAAGCGGGCAGGGTTTTAGAAATAACACAGTAGTACGGGACAAAACAATCTCCAGGAGTTGAGCCGCCAAAACAGGAATCAGGCGCGCAGCCTCGGCCAGCCGGGAAGCCAGTGGCACCTATGGCCAGGCGAGAAACTGTTTACTTTCTCCACCCCACCCCAGATGCACACAATAGAGTTGGTGGCTTTGGAGATGAGAAGCACCACCGGACTGTTAACCCCGAAGGGAAGAAAAACAAGCAACCCTAAACCACGCTCTGGGAAGGGCTGTAATTGTGCCGGTGACAAATCCGATGATTAATGGGCAGGAGCAGGAGGCGCGGGGAGACTGCACGTCCGTTCTGAGCTGGCTCCGGAGCAGTGGCGCGGCTTCCCACCCCGGGGCTGGGCCGCCGACCACGCAACGGTTGGAGAGAACTGAGGGAAGGGGGCGTCGAACCCACCCCAGCCCCGCGGCTCCTTTGTCCCCAAATCCGCCGACGGTCCTCGGACCGCAGCTCCCGCCTCGGTGGGCTTAAGTTTCTTTGTTGTGCGTGTTTTCTTCTCCACTCCGTTTTGCCAGCTGGGGGGAGGGGGCGCCCTCCGTCCAGCCCCCAAAGCCTCGCGGGGAGCCGCTGTTAGCGGCCACCCAGCGCGACCACACCGGTCCCGCGGCGGGGCCCCAGCGCGACCGGCCCCGGGGCGCTGCCGAGGTTCCCGCAGCCCCGACGGCCGGACTCTGACCCAGGGATGTGGGGCCCGCGTCCCTCCGACGCCCTCGCCCTGCTCACCTGCCAGCAGCTCCTGCAGGCTCTGGCTGAAGGTCTGCAGCTGTCGCTCGCTCGTGAGCCCCTTGGTGCGGAGGAACTTGGAGATGAAGGACACGGCGGCGGCGATCTCGCCTATCATGGTGGCGGCCCGGGTATAGAAGGGATGCATGGGGGCGGCGTGCGGGGACGGCCCGGGGCGGCCGGGGCTCGGCAGCGCGGCCCCGACGGCGGAGCGGCCACCCCGGGCTTCCTCACCGGGCAGAAGGCTGAGAGAAAGAGAGGGCGTGAGGGGCGGACGGCTACTTTTTTTTTTCTTTCTTTAGACTAAAAAAGTTATTTTCGAGACAGGAGGCGGCAGGAGAGATGAAGAGACGAGCGATGGCGGCCTGGTCACATCGCTCGGACCTCCCCAGCCGCCTCCGCCTCCAGCTCCCCAGCATCTGAATATCCCAACAGTCGCATTTCCAGCTCCGAGGGGCGAAGAGATGCAGGCGCCGTGCAGCACCCTTTATAGTGCCACGAAAAGGAAGTGGCGTAGCTGGAGCGTGACGGCCGACTCCAGCCAATCCGAATATCGCACCATTGTGACGCAAGCCGGTTCGGAGCCGAAAGGGGCGGGAAAAGAGTCCAGGAGGCGGGTCCAGAGATAGGGAAGAGAGGGAGGAGCTGACGTAATCCGCTTGTAAACAAATAAACCCGGAGTGGCGGCTGGAGACCCAGTTGCTGTGTCGAGGGAAGGAGGGAAGCGAGGGTGCGCGTGTGAAAGCTCCGCCCCCAGCCCTAGCTCCGCCTTCCCGCTTCAGCAGGTCCAGGCTCTGCGCCAGTGCATCCTCCTGCAAGAGTGCGCTGCCTGGGCCCGCTTGCCCTGGAGTGTAAGTGCTGGATAAATAAGAGCCGCCTGGCGCAGGCTGTGTCTACTCTCGCGCCGCCTTCTCAGATCGGCTGCATGTTCCCACTCCGTGTTTACATCTCGTTCCCGCTCCGGAACTCGGTGACTGGCTTCTCAAGCCGGAGGCGAGTGTGGTGCCGGGCAATGCGGGCTCCAGCGCTGTGTGTGCTGGCAGGTGCGCTGCGCGAGTGCGGGGGAAAGTGGAGGGAACGGTCCCGCGGGGCGTTCAGTCCAAGAAAAAAGACTGCAGCCTCGGGGAGCCAGGGTCCCTCGCACACGAGCTGCCAACGCCGCGGAGCCGTTTCTGCTCCACCCTAGGGGAGGAGTAGGGGGATATCTTTGTAAAAGTGTAATTGCAAAATAAGTAGGTTAGTAAGGCCATTTGTAGTTGCTGTTTCAGTAACTTCAGCAGTCAATGAAGAGAAGAGTGGAAACCTTACTGGATGCGGACAGGAGAGCCAGTTACTGAAGGCAAATACAATAACGCGGATCCTGTAAACAGTAGTCTGTATCCAAAAAAAAAAAAAAAAAATTGTACAATGTATTTTAAAATTTGTGTACACAAAACCAAAGATTTTCTTTTTTACCTAGTCCAAATGCTCTCCTAGCCTGAGTCCTGCTCTTTATAAAAATAAAAAGAATTTGAAGCTTGCGAAAGTATTAAGTGTAGACATTTAAGTTTATTTGAAACCTACCGAAAAAAAAAAACTTAGAAACCAGTGTACCAGGAAGGCGGGAGCCTGCTAAAACCATTAGGCCTAGGACAGGGTTAACCCCAACTCCATTAAGGAGAAGGGGGAAAAGAGAAAAAAATGATGAAGGGAAGCAGGCAGATGGAGAAAGCAAACAGGAGGCAGAAGTTGAACTCTACCAGATGGAAATAAATATCCCAACTTTAGTTGGTCATCAATATTGCAAAACACACCACTTTGAGTTTTTTCTTTTTTCTTTTTAATACTGAGCTAAAGGATATAGAAATGAAGCAAAAATATGACAGTATAAAACAGGAGAAAACGTTTTATTGTTTAAAAATACGTAAAACTATTTGAAATAACTTCTAGATTATTTTTTCATTAGTACACATAACTAAATAGTTATGTGTGAAAAAATTAGTGGGTTTTTTCTTCTAGAACTTTTCAGATAGAACTGTGCTTAAAAATAATAGTAATTTCACTGGAGGCATGAAACCTCTTTTACGACTCAAAAAGAAGATAGAGAAGCAAAAGAAAATTCATGAAATTACCATAACACTAGAATAAGAACTCCTGGTCTCCCACCTAACCTGACCCATCCTTAGTTCCCTGCTTTCACTTACATTGTCGTTCATGTGTCACTGAGTACAAATTAGAAGTCAAGTGAAAGTTTTTCTCTTCTAAACCTGGTCTCCAACTTGGCCTCTCGGTCATGTGCTTAAATTGACTCATCTAAAAAACAGAAATATTAAATCAACAAAATGCTAGGATTGGACTCAGGCTTCCCCCAAGCCCTTGTTCTCCACACTATTTTTAACTGCCTGCACTAGCAGCAGCAGGACCCCTTCTGAAAGCCTTATAAAACCAGTTGAACAGGGTTAACAGAAAGTTTAACCCACAGACTCAGGGAGAGTTACTTCCCGCCCTGAGTTTTTTTTTTATTGTATATGTGTGTTTCCCACCTTAAATCATCCCATTAGGAGACAAATTGATTTGAGAAACTATAGCAATTTTTAACCTGGGGAATCTAAAGCGTACTCAGGAAAAAAACTGGAAATAAACATTAGTCTTAAACACAAGCCTTAGATGGTGCAGAATGTTAATTGCTAATAGTTTTCAATTCCTGACTTATAGACGTTTAGTCACATTTTCTGGAAGTTTTGTCAGGCCCTTCCCATCTGGGAAACAAGTAGGTATTTCTTGACACTTTTTGAATTATAAAGGTGCTTTCTGTGTTGTTATGCTAAGTTTACCAAGGCTTTCCCAAGTACTGTGTTATTATCATGCAATTTGATAGTAATTTATGAAATTTCCTTTTTTTTTTTTTTTTTTTTTTTTTTTGAGACAGAGTCTCACTCAGTCACCCAGGCTGGAGTGCAGTGGCGGGATCTTAGCTCACTGCAGCCACCGACTCCCGGGTTCAAGTGATTCCCCTGCCTTAGCCTCCTGAGTAGCTGGGATTACAGGCATGCACCACCACACCTGGCTAAATTTTGTATTTTTAGTAGAGATGGTGTTTCACCATGTTGGCCAGACTGGTCTCAAACTCCTGACCTCAGGTGAGCCACCCGCCTCGGCCTCCCAAAGTTTAGGGATTACAGGCGTGGGCCGCCACGCCAGGCCTGTCTAATTAATTTCTAAAACTTAGAACATTTCTAATCAAAGTATTAAAAATCTTAGGAATGCTGTCAAAACAAATTCAAAAAAATGAACCTGGGTTTTAAGATAAGTGGACAAATAAAAGCACAACTATTAGATATTGTTTCCCCAGTTGGACCCACCCTTTCCCTGAAGGCACATTCAGGGCCAGGGCCTTCCAGACGAAGCCAGAGGCAACCTGCCTGTTGCTAGTCAGCTAGCTGCAGTCACTAAAGTTGTGCCTATTATGCACCAACTTCCAGATAGAGTGCTTGGTATCTAGAAAACTCACAACCAATAAGTAAAAAGTCAAGTGAGAGAGTTCTTGATGGAGTGTTGATGGCAAGTAGAAACAGGGCATTTATTTATTTGTGTGTTTCGGGGCAGAGGAAAAATAAGAAAGCCCCGAAAGTGAACAATCTCAGCTAAGCCAATGAAAGTGATCCAAGATTAGTTCTCCTTGGAGGAAAGGAAAGGGCCTGATCTTGGAGTATCATAAAGGTATAAACCAAGGAGGATAAGTATTGTTGAAAAAACTGGTAAATGGAGGCAGGCATAGGGTACTTGAGAGTATTTTTAGCAGGCAGATTATATGATCAGATTTATTTATCTTTAAATAATTTAGCTTTTCTTGTGGGTTTATGTCTTCAACTAGAGACCTATGCCTCTTATTTATCTATTTTTTGGTTACCCACAGAAAGGAGGAGACCACTTTTAATTGCCTCCCCACTAACACCTGACTTGCTTTGCTTGAGTAAGTATCCAAGGACACAAGCTGCTAAGACATTTGCACTGGGTTTAGATCTACTGCGATTCAGAAAACACAAAAGAACTTGCAATCAGAGGGTGACACATAATGATTTTAGACAAAACTCAGTTTCTTCTTGTGGAAGCTATTCAGATTGTTTGGAGAGTGGGAGGAAAAAGGAGCGAAGCGTTGCTTAACAACAAAAGTAATAATGCAGGTTATTATCATTTTATCATTAACAATGCATCAGTGCTAAGTGTTTTACATGCTTTTTTTTGTTTTTGTTTTTGTTTTTGTTTTTGAGACTCACTCTGTTGCCCAGGCTGGAGTGTAGTGGTGCGATCACAGCTCACTGCAACCTCTGCCTCCTGGGCTCAAGCTCATCTTTCCACTCAGCTTCCTGAGTGGCTGGGACTACAGGCGCGTGCCACCACGCCTGGCTAATTTTTGTATTTTTTGGTAGAGACGGGATTTCACCATGTTGCCTAGGTTGGTTGTGACCTCCTGGGCTCAAGCGATTCACTCACCTCAGCCTCCCAAAGTGCTGGAATTACAGGCATGAGCCACCGCACCCTGCCATGCTTTCTCATTTAATTCTCTAAGAAACTCAATCAAGTGAGTACAGTTGACAGCATTTAACATATGAGAATACAGTCTTAAAGAAAATAAGTTATTTACCTAAGGTTTTACAACCAGATTTGAACTCTCAGTCATGGACTACAAAATTTGAGCTCTAAATACCTGGTAGGGTTTTCAAGGGAGTTCCTGATACTGGCTTTCCTAAAAATGACCTTGAGAAAGAAAACCTGATAAAGTTAGAAGGCCATCTGGAGATGAGTAGAGATAGTAGAAGAAAAAAAAAATCAAAACTCAAGGCAGCTGAGGGGACATCTCATAGCTGACATAAACTGGAAGATACAGCTACATTTATTAAAAGGCCCACTGGAAAATGAAACAAAGAACATATTAAAATGTTAATCTGCCAAATAATTTAACTGGAATGAAAATTATCCCTAGGTACAGATAAGAGAAAGTAGCAAAAGTGCTTTCTATTTAAGACCATTTCAACTTTTCATTTCCCCTTTGGCCTAAATTGACAAGAGGAAGGAGGGGCCTGGTCAGTTCCACAATCTCTCTTACCCAGCAACTGAGGGGAGCCCTGGAGGGTTCGGTGGGGGAGGTGGGAGGGCAGCCAGGAGGGATGGTTTTGTGTCCAGGTCACTGTTGAATGTGATCAGTGGCCTCCAGGAATTCTCACTCAACTTTCTATTGCATAGCTGCAGGGCTATTTCTCAAAGCTGGGCTCCTCCCCAGACCTTTTCCTTCCTGGTGCCAGAACCTCCTGGCCTATCTCTTTTTAAAGCTCTCACCTTCTATTTTGTCACAGGAGGCAACTCCCTGGGTTACTGAGTGTTTATCTGCACCTTCCCAGCTGCCAAAGACCTCTTCAATTTTAAGGTTTAACAGTAGACAGCGGGGCGCGGTGGCTCACGCCTGTAATCCCAGCACTTTGGGAGGCCGAGGCGGGTGGATCACGAGGTCAGGAGATTGAGACCATCCTGGCTGACACGGTGAAACCCTGTCTGTACTAAAACTATTTTAAAAATTAGCGGGGCGTGGTGGCGGGCGCCTGTAGTCCCAGTTACTCTAGAGGCTGAGGCAGGAGAATGGCGTGATCCTAGGAGGCGGAGCTTGCAGTGAGCCGACTTCTTGCCACCGCACTCCAGCCTGGGCGACAGAGCAAGACTCCGTCTCAAAAAAAAAAAAAAAAAAAAACCTAAAAAATCCCACATTTTTTTCAGGTATATATCGTATCCAATAGAAATCTCTTTCCTTAAAAGAAAACGTTAGCACATCAATTGGATAGGTAAAAGCTGCCTTTAAAATGACTAAGTTTTCAGTGAGTTGTTAATTGCTTCCTTTCGGTTCTATAGTCTGGGTAAACTCCATTCTTCCCAGTTTCTGAGACAATAAGCAAGCCAGAGATACTCTTGTCCAGTAATGGTGTCCACATTTTGCTCTCAAGAGAGGGGATAATACTCAGGAAGCTTGGTAGAATACCCACATAATCAAATGTTGGCATATTCTATACTTTATTTTTACTTTATTCTACACTGTATTTTTAGTTTTTCTTTTATTTTCAAAGAAAAACAGCAGGGCTGGGCGTGGAGGCTCACACCTGTCATTCCAACACTTTGAGAGGCCACAGCAGGAGGATAGCTTGAGGCCAGGAATTCAAGACCACCCTGGGCAACACAGTGAGAACCCCCTGTCTACAAAAAATAAATAATTTACCTGGGGTTGGTGGTGCATGCCTGTAAGTCCTAGCTACTTGGGAGGCTGAGGCAGGATAATTTGAGGCCACAGTTAGCTATGATTGTGCCACTGCACCCCAGCCTGGGCAACAAGCGGGAACCTGTCTCAGAAAAAAAAGGAGAAGAAGGAGAAGAAGACAAAACAGCAACTTTTTTTTTTTTAATGGAAACTCAAATATATAATCTCAAAGTAGATTAGAATTTAAGTGCATTAAATTCTAATGTACTTAAATTTAATTTAATTTAATTCTAATTAGAATTTAATGCATTAAATTAAGTGCATTAAATTTTTGTATTTTTAGTAGA